TCATGCATAATAAGATAATCAGTAAAAGGTATTAAAATGTACGTCTGTTCTATTCCATGTTGTGAAAGTTAAATGTCGTACCATTTCTCCCCTTAGATTGTAATTATCCCTCTGTATTCACTCAACTGTCTTGAACACGAATGGGTTTAGGTGGAAGTAGCAGGGCACTCTCAATCAGCTCAGAAAAGACAAAGCTTTGCTGAACCAGAGCTGTGCTCAGCCCAGACTCCTTGCCCTGTCCAGAAAATACCAGTCCATCTTGCAAGAATGTAGGATGAAGATAAGTGAAAGGGAGATTGCAAGTTGATCTTATTCTTTCTCTGTAACTGACCTTGTTATCCCTCCTAAGATTTCAGAGTAATTTTACTCCAGAAATTATTTTATCACTGTTATGAAATTCCTGAGACTTCTTATCAAAAGTAATCAATAATAAAAAATAAAATAATAATATCACTGTCAAATGGTCTGGTTTATCGGTCATCTATAATAAGGTCAATGTACCTTATTGCTATCCATAGAAAGTAATTGCTAACAAAAAGTACATAAAAGAAAGAATGGAAAGGGGGGAGGGAAGAAGGAACCCACAAAGTATTACTAATAAAATATTTTTTATTTAATTTTTTGTTTTGTTAGTGGTGCTGGGGATGGACACTAGGCCCTTGAGCATGCTAGGCAAGTACTCTAACACTGATCTATGTCCTCAGCCTCTCATTAAATCTTGAAATAGTAGCAAATTACCTTAAATGCACAGAGAGCCCAGCCTTCCCTGCCTGGGTAAGGGGAACTTACTCTTCCCTGAAGGACAATCTTGCTGAGACTCTTCAGATCCATAGTAATGAACAGTGACTTGAATCCTGGATACTTTATTTTTCATGTTCTTTAAACTTAATTATTTTACCTAGGAACACAAAATTATGAGCATTGAATTTCATTAAAAAATACTACTTAGTTTGAGAGGATAAAATAATTTCCTCACCTTATACTTAAAGTATAAAACCAAGCTTTTAAATTTAGATCATTAATTCTTGAGGAAATAGAAAAGAACACATTAGATAACAAAGCCACACTAGAACATCAAAAGACTTTTAGAAATTTTGTTGTTTTTCCTGCAGTTGGTTAATCAGTAAAGGAAAAAAGTTATGAGAAGCTGTTATAACTTCTAGTAATGTCTTGAATCTGTGTTACCTTCCACCTTCCTGATTCCCACATTCTCATCCAACAAAAATAAGAAACTCAGAACATTTGACATACAGTAGCAGTTGAAAAATTTTAACTCTTTTCCTTTTATAGAGTTTTTAAAAATAGCTTTATGGTTGTTTTAGGTTTTTTTTATAATAGTTTTATAGAGAAATGTTTAGTAACTTTTAGGTTACTTAGGTTTAGTAACTTTAGTATATCCATTGAGTTGTAATTTTGGAGACATTTTTGGTTTTATCCTGAAAGGAATAGTCTAATTTCTCCCCAGAAATCATGGAAATAATGGTACAAAACAACAACAACAAAACCAGTCCAGTTTGACTGAGGGGCTCATTTTAATTTTTGTTGGTATTCACTAGGGCTTCTCACACAAATACATGTGAATAACTTCTAAAATGTCCAGTACTGGAAAAAGCAGTTTGGAGAGCTTGAAAGTGTTAGCTCTCACTTATATTTCTTGAAATATCCTCCTGAGATGGCTTGCTAATTCTTGAAGTAGTTCTCTGCCTCACACTGAATCAGTTTGGGAAAGAAAAAAAAAAAATCTACCCTGACAACTCAGCCCATAAAATTCTCTCTTCTTATAACCCTCCAGCACCATCTTTCGCTTTGGGAGGCTGGATCCTCACTGCTCTGCTCTTTCTGTGTGCCCTGGTCCTCTCAAGGAGAACTGAGCCCTCTGGAGTCCTTCTCTAGTTGCACCTACTACCCACCCAGTCAGAAAAATCTTTCTGGAACATCAATCAGACTTCTCATCTTAAAACACTTTAGTGGTTCCCTTGACATGCAACATAATAGCATTTCTCAAAACAATAGCTGAGAAATTCTAGAAAACAATTAAATTTAATTCATTTTTTATAATAAAAATAATTAACAAGCATACTCTAGTTCCTCAGAATGGATACCCTATAACTGAATACAGTACTGATATTCATGGTTGGGTGACAATGATGCCAAATCTTGTACTTTCTAATGAAGTATTTCTTTCTAAAAATGACCCAGAACCTGGAGCCACATTCTCAGAGAAATTTCCCTTTTGAAGAGATCCAGAAATTACTTACTTGTGAGAACCAATAGCCTATAGGACAGGATTCAAATGTTCCAAAGTAGATGAATTTGTTAATTCTTTGTCAAATTTGTGATCTTTGTCAGTTCTTACACTGATCTCCTTCACATTGTCCCCTTGTACCCAGCTCTCAGCCTTTGAGTGATAAGCAGTCCTTGAATAAGCTGGGTCATTTCAAGCATTGACTACCTTTTCTTAAACTGGTCTTTGCCAATGATAACTCCTTTCTTGTGCTCTACCCATCTTGAAAACCACTCTGTAGACTGAGACTTTTCTGAAGACCCATCCCCAGAGACTGTTGAAAACTCCCAACTTGGCTGCAATTATTCTTAACACAAGTAATTTTGTCATCCATAAACTATGCCCCAAATTTAGTGGCTTAAAACAACAGTATCACTTTGTTTCAGAGGGTCAGGAAATGTGAGTGAGCCTTAGCTGAGTCTTCAGGTTCTGTGACTCTCTCAGGTTGCAGTGCTTCCTTGTGACTCCTATGGGAAGGTGTGGGAGGGTTCCCTTCCCAATGGCTTTTGTTACTCATGACCTGTTGTGTATGGCCTTTCTTTGGTTTTTGGACTCACAGCATGAGGCTTGCTTCACCAGAGCAAATGGGAGGGCAAGAGAGAGAGGTACCACGAGAGAATGTGTCCCAGTTTTTTGTAACTGAATCACCAAAGTAACTTGCCCTCATGGTTGCTAGGTTCTGCTCTTTAGAAAAAAGGTTCTAGGTCTAGCCCACATTCAAGAGCAATCGGTTACATACTAAGTGGGGGAAGTTGGATGCCTGGGGACTATCTAAGGAGTCTCAGCAGGCTCTTGGACATCTTTATGCAGACCCAGGTGAAGTTGTTGTGATTGGATGGATGCTGTTTTTCCTCTCAGTTTCACTTCTCTGCCTCTCTAGTATGGGCATCTTGAAGCTGTGATTGTGATTCTAGGGTTTAAAGAATCACAATCTTTAAATATTTTAAGTAATCTGGCTCCTAAATGCCATTTGAAAGTCAACTCCCTCGTCTGATCTTCAAGTGAAGAAAAAATGGTCTATTTTAGTGATGAAAGAAGAACTCTCTGGGTTGGACTTACTAAGTAAAGGTGATATAGCTTACTGAGACAGTGCTTTCTTAAGAGATTTGCAAATGTAATTCTGACTATTTTGGATTTATGTCCTGAATTCAACTTCTAAACTGGAGTAAGAGGAGAGTCTTCTGTGTTTTTTAATGTGACCCTTATAAAACTCTGGGGCTCTTTGTTTGCTTGCCTCTGTTTTAGCTGGGAATTACTCAACAGTCTGGTCCATGCCTAATTCATATCTAGCATCAACACTTCCAATATGGTTCCAATATAGTTTATGAAATATGTCCTAACTTGCTTTTTTTGTGTCTCAAATGTATCCAGTATGAAATTCTAAATTTACTGTGCATTGCTATTGTTTAATAGGTCAGAATGCTACAGAACTTTCTTTGGCATGCATGATTAAAAAGAGTGCCTTGGGTCCATGATACTTATAATTTCTGTGTTATTTTACTAGTTAGTTAGGGCTGTAGCAGTTTTTGACCTTGAATCAAAATTCTCTACTTTTTTTCTCCACACTTTTCAAATATTTTGTCCTTTGAAGTCAAGGGAATTGCCCTGATTTTATGATGACATTTGGGCACGATATTTAAACTGCTAAAAGTTATAAAAACGACCCTTTGGTATTCATTGTAATAAATGGCTCTGCATTGAATACATGCACAGGTTCTCCTGTTCAAGCGTTGTGAGCCTAGACTGCTCCAGTTGCATATTCTCATTGTAATTGGATTCCATGACATTCTGTCACCCCTAAGATTGTGCCTGCCCATGGAAGTTCCTCCCTGCTTGGGGATGGTGTAGACTCTGGGTCTTGTGAAGTTTGGTTTTCATCTCTAGATTTGTAACATTTGTAGAACTGCTGGTCCTCTACAATCCTGAAGAGGCATATTTGTTTCTGTTGTAAAATAAAACATATATATATTTTCCCCTAAGAGCACCCTCAAATAAAGGGGCAGACTGACTTCTAGAATTTACCCATTTTTGCTCAACCTCAGCTCATAGAGAATATTTTCTTTATAGATACATGGTGTTCATTTGTCCTGGATGGTATTTTCTTATAACTCTAAAATATTATCATGTTCAAATGTTTTAGACCATAAACTCTCAATATTAGAACTTATTCTCTTGTTTCATCCTGTTGATATCTTTCCCCTTTCTATACCCACTATAACACGTAAAAACACCCCAGACACATTTTCAAGTAGGAGTAAGCACACACCAGAAGTCTCAGGTTTATTGGTGATGTATTAGAGTAGATCAGAGATAAGGAGCTGGAAGATGTCTTGGCTCTTGTAGGGAGGATAGGTATGTTCCAGAAGGCTTTGCTATAACATGCAGTTTCTCTATGTGGATAAAGAAGGGTGCAAGCTCTCCTTTGACCCCCTAAATGTACCAGAGCGTGTTGCTGCCATGAAATTGTACTGTAATATTTTCTAGCTGTGATTCATTCACAGTTTAATATGCTTCTAGTACTGGCTTGACTTTTCCCCCAGGAAGAGCCTAAAATCTCTTAATTATAATATAGACAGTGCACTGCACTTTGAATACAAATTTATCCATGTTCAGACTAATTTTTCTTGTGATTGTCTCTACCCTGGAGAAGTGCCTTTAATGAATTACATACAAATTGTGTAATTTAAGAAGTTAATTTGGTTTTCTGGTTACACAGGACTAAAAACAGCCCTTGTAGAAAGAGATGATTTCTCATCAGGGACCAGCAGCAGAAGCACTAAATTGATCCATGGTGGGGTGAGATATCTTCAGAAGGCCATCATGAAGTTGGATATTGAGCAGGTAATTGTGTATGCTGGTTGTTAAACAAAAATTGCGACTATGCTTTTTCTACCCAATTAAATCAGACTTTTTTTTTTTTTTAATGGCTTTTAACATTTCTTCCTATTGGAAACACCTATTTAGTGTGTGCTGCCATAATATCTTTCAGGAGAGGTGTGTCAGTTCTTTCCTGTAGTATTATATTTATGGGTAATCAAGGGCTTTTTCTTCAGAAGCATGTCAAAGTAGCAGATTTACAAAATCACTTTTGGATGTGTTGCCTTTTAACAATTGTGATTGGGTTTTTGCCAGTGGCCACCAAATTGCTCCTTTGCAAGCTGTTTCAGGGGAGCTGTGTTGTAATGCAGAGGGAGTGCCAAATTGATCCTCTTAACTGCAACTGCAATCATACGCTTATATTGTCACTGACATATTCTTAAGGAAAAGATGATCTGAGTCATGCTTTTCCTATGTCACACTTTATTGTGTCCAGTCTGCCACCATTTGAAAACTGCCAAGGCAGTGTGGAAGATGACATTTCCCAGAGGGGTAAAAAAAAAGAAAAAAAATCAGCTGCACTCCCTATCTGCTTTTCGTACATGAAAAACACAGAAGCACTGACTTGACATTGTCAAGTTTTGAATCTGTCCCCCTTTTTTCCTTGACAAGTTAGTTTTGAATCTGTCCCTTTTTCCTATGTTTCTCTTCAGCATATGATGAATGCAAAAAAGAAAGAAAGAAAGAAAAAAAAAAACCCAGCATGGATATAGAGTCAGCTAACTGATGATGTGTTCTGCATTATTTGCTGAATATCTATGAACCTTAATCTTTGTATTTGTGAAATTAGTATTATAATAGTAATGCTAGCTCTTTAGAGAGGCATAATGATAATCACAGGAGTTAAGTTAAAAGCTTTTTTTAATAATCTACCTGTAAAGTACTGTGCAACTGCTGCATAGCATCTTTGCTGGATTTAGTGAAGGCAAGAAGGAAACTTTTAGCATGAATTTGAACAATCTGTTATCTAACCTGGAGAAAATATTATGGGGAACTGAGAAAGGGGGACAATACAGAGAATGCAAGATAAATGGTTACAATAATCTTGTAACTCAAGTCAGGAAAATATCTTACACCTGGGAACTCTGACAGCATGTTTTTCTCCTATGCAAATACAGTTAAGGTTTCTAAAAAATCTTTGAGGTTGACAGCATGATGTATTATTAGAAATTTGATTAGGAGGGAGCTATCCTCGCTCAGAGGTAGAAGGTTTCTGTGTATCAATCAGTTGGCAGGGTGTCTATTTGCCATTTGAAAATATTATGATCTGTTACTGCCAAACTAATTTTCTCTGTTTTGATTTTCAGTATAGGATGGTAAAAGAAGCCCTTCATGAGCGTGCCAACCTACTAGAAATTGCTCCCCATTTATCAGCTCCATTACCTATAATGCTTCCAATTTACAAGTAAGCCTTTTGGTATCACCTGTATATTATTGCATGTCTGAGGTCAATAGAACAACACAGTTTTAATGGAAATAATCCCTCCATGTGTGTTACTTAATGTGGTTTTAAGTAGTCCTAATCTTGAGTCCCTTTCAAACATTTTCTTAGGTGTATTTAAAATGTGGGTTTTCCTAAATACTCTGCAGACTTATCTCTACAGACCAGACCTTGAAAGCAATGGAGGTTGTGTTCTGTTTTTATAATTAGCAGTATCTTATTCCATTTCCTGGGAGTATGTATATGAGAAACTACATCTGTGCTAAGGAATATTAGTGAGTCATGTGCAGGGTGTAAAATACAGACCCAAATGGTACTGTGTTGCAAAATCTGAATCTACAACATACCAACTCAAAACTCAACTATTTGAGGTCATTTTAAATGTCTGAGCTAGCAAAAACTGAAATTTTGCTAGGAAATATCAGGTTATAAATTAGAAAATCCAGTTTCCTAATGTTGTGGAAACTATCTGTGATGTTGCCTAAGTTTGTGTATTCAGGCTCAGTAATATGAAAAAAAGTGGATAGTGCTGCTCATTTAGCTGCATTAATGTAGTGAGGGCTTGAAATAGATATTACAGTTTTGGCCATCTTTTGCTCTAGATTTCTGAGAATTTCTTAGATCAGTGATTCTCTTTGCTGGGTGCATGTTATAGTCGCCTGGCCCTACCCTACTCTATTTACATCAGTCTCTGGATATGTGAGGGCCAGGCATTTGTATTTATTTTTAATGTTCCTCAGAGAGGTGTAATATATAGCCAGAATAAGATTCTTAGAGAAGATTCATTTGAAATCTCACTGATTCATTTACTTATATACTTCAGCTAGATTGTTGTCAAAAATAGTTACATAGGGCTCCTGTCCCTTTTGTAGGTATGCTTTGTTTTTCTTATATGAAAAGTCTCTTAGCCAGGTGCAGTGTTGCTTGTCTATAATCCCAGTGACACTGGAGGCCAAGTCAGGAAGATTGCAAGTTTGAGGCCAGCTTTAGCAGCTTAGTGTGACAAGAACTCAAAAAAAAAGGAGAAAAGTTTCTTGTAATTTAAGGTGGCATTCTGTTACATTATACTCTGTTTTTAAAGAAACCGTTTTCCCTATTTATGCTGTAGATGGTGGCAGTTACCTTACTACTGGGTAGGAATCAAGCTGTACGATCTGGTTGCAGGAAGTAATTGCCTGAAGAGCAGTTATGTCCTCAGCAAATCAAGAGCCCTTGAGCATTTCCCCATGCTTCAGAAGGACAAACTGGTAGGAGCGATTGTCTACTATGACGGTAGGTGATGTTTTGATTTTTTTTACAAGATATTTTTCTTTCTTACTATGACCCCTTAGAACATACTATGACCCTTACAGTAAATTCTTAATGAGGTCGTTTTGCAGTTTTACTTTTAATGCTAATCTTAGACAGCATACAAATGCACACATGTACATGCACTGGTTCACCATTTTCTTTAGCACTGGCTGAAAAACTACCTATAATGTTTTTGCTTCTAATGTTGTTTATTTTACATACTCCTTTTCTTCTCTAATTTCTACATGTGTCTCATGGTTGGTTTGGTCCATTTCTCATTGTTATGGATTTGGACCCCACCCTCGTGCCATTTAATTTGTTATATGTTTGCCAGTGAATACTTGCCTTATGAATATATTATAATGTTGAAAGCAGCTGAGGATCTGTTAGGTTTTCTAGATGAAACCTCTATTTTCAAGGGGTTATAAACCTAGAGAAAAATGCCCCTTGGGCTGAAATTGACATATTTGTATTTTGCATAGGACACATTCTTGAGAGTATAATTTATGTAATGAAGGTAGATAAACATTGCATCTGTTAAACCAAACCCTAAGATTTTATTGCTTATTTTATTGATGTTAGATGTTTTCTAACAGTGACATTACCCAGTGTCCATTTGCTGTGTGTTCAATAACTACAGAAGGGGCACAAAACAAAATAGTCAAAGCCATTTGTGAAATTTTACTGGTAGTTTTAAAAGGTGTGTGGGACTGGAAAATGGTCCAAGGATATCCATTTACAAGGAAATAGCTGGACACAGATAATTATACTTGTTCAAAAGGTCTTAGAAATTTTGTGAACAAAGCATAGCTTAGGCTTTGTATCTCAGTTACTCTCCCCTTTCCACATTATGTTGTCTTTTATCTTTGATGTTAGATATTTAAACTCTTAGCATGTAGAATTTTTTTTGTTATTGTTGTTTAAAGAGACTTTCATATCTATGCTTCATATTATGGGATGTGCTCAAGGCCAACCCTACCTTTTTTCTTCTTCTTTCCAGTGTTATGTTTCTGAATCAATTCAGCTGTCTTTCATATATAAATGCAAAATGTGTATGCTAAGGGGGCCACAGGGGCCAAACTGAAGAAAATGTCCCAGGAGCAACAATATTAGAAAAAATGTTAAGGGTCTTAGACAAACATAAAAGCTAGAAAATTAACAGTTTGCAGTGCCTTCCCACATCTGACCACCACAGGGGGCCACTTAACCACTTTTTTGGTGCCCTAGATTGAGCCTACATGTTAAAGGACAACCTAGACTGTGAATTTGCTTTCTCTGCATCAGACCCTTAATGTTCATCCATTGTAGTTTATTGAGTGATTACAGTAAAGAGGTTTTTGGTTTAGGAGAAGTAAGAAGGGATTCTGTAAATAGCATCTTGCTCATCTTGACATAGAAATGTTTGTTGCCTTTGCTTTTATTACTCATCCTTTTCTTGTAAACCTTCTCAAATTTTTATTCATTTTCTATATCATGTGTTGTATTGGGCAACCACTAATTTTATTTATTAGATTGTGCATATCTGAATCACCTCGTGAGGTATATTATTGGATATCATATCTGAATTTGTGACTGTCATGTGTTACTTTTGCATTCTTATGAATTATAGATTCTTATTGATTCTACATGGAAAAACCAAAGGAAATTTATGTTACATAATGAAGAGGAAACATTATTCTACTAGAATTAAGAGAAAGAAGAATTTCTTTAGTCTAGAATTGATCTTTATAGCTTGTTATAGGTTACAAAATTGTAAGTTGAGCAAAGATTATTGAAAAATTTTAAAATTGTTATTGAAAATAATTTCAAATTGCTAACTTGGAAATTGGTTATAAAATCTTAAATAATGAACTGAACAAGAATTATTTTCTATATAATTCTATTCTGATCATTATTTGCTGTTACACCTTGTTCTGAAATGATATAGACCTAACTATGTCATACCTGACGTGAGGCAAAACAAAAATATACAACAGTAAGGTCCTTTGGTTTTACAGCTGTATTCACAGATAGAGACAACTCCTGTTTTATCTAATATAATGTGATGGGCAAATTAAGAATCTGCATGGAAATAACTTACAGAGGAACTTGTAGGTAAAAGAATTGAATGCAGTAGATGCATGCTTAGAAAATGTTAAATGCCTTATTCTTTGACCAAAAGAAGAATTCAAACTAATTCAAAGAGAACAAAATACCATTGTGCACATTAACCATTACAAACCCAACTGAAAAAATTTATAAGATAAAACTTTCTTAACAAGAAAAAACCCCATACTTTTCCTAATAAATGTTTATTATGAGTCTATAATAACAGTCTCAGTGTGTTAGTCAGCTTTTCATTGCTATACTGAAATACCTGACACAAACAATTAAAAGGAGGAAAGATTTCTTTTTTTTAATATATATATATATTTTTTTTTTTGTTAGACACAATACCTTCATTTTGTTTATTTAGTTTTATGTGGTGTTGAGGATTGAACCCAGGGCCTCGCGCACTCTACCACTAGACTATTCATTTTTATTCCAGCCTAAAACTCAGACCCAGACCCGAGGAAAGATTTCTTTTGACTCACGGTTTCAGATCAGAATTGACAGGCTCTATTGCTTTGGGCCTGAGGTGAGGCACAATATTATGGCAGAAGGGTGCAGCAGAGGAAAGCTGCTCAACTCAAGACAGCTAGAAGCAGAAACAGAGGTAGAGAGGAAAGGGCCAGGGACAAGATACATTCCTTAAAGGCATGTGCCTAGGAACCTACTTATTTCCATGCTCCACCTGCCTACAATTTCCACCACCTCCCTGTAGTTTCAAATTATTAATCCTTCAAATGGATAAATCCACTGATAATGGTAGAGGCTTCATGATCCAACCATTCCCCCAAAACTCCACTTCTGAATTTTGCTGCATTGGGGATCACACTTTCAACACATGAGCTTTTTGGGATCATTCATATCCAAACCATAATAGTTCACCTAAATGATTTCAAAATGAATTGAGGCTACATGAAATAATGCTTTTAAAATACTTAAATTCACATAAGTACCCATTTAAAAGTGAACAGAAATAATATTTTTTATAACTCATACCTAGGAAGAATTTTAATTCTGTTGAAAAAGTGTTATAAGTGATCCTATGAAGTTTTGCTAACTAAAAAGTTATTGGTGATACATTATCATACAGCTACTTCAGCACCATTGAAAAGTGAAATATAACAGTGTGAAAATGCAGTGAGGAAGACTAGTAAATATTTTTATGAACTTGGTCCAAGAACTGAGATAACCTTTAAGATCTTGTCAATATAGACATATTAGGGCTATTCCATTTGAAATCTAAAATGTACAAAAGTCCAAAGAGTTTTCTTAATCACTCATAAGCACAGTTCATCCTAAATAATTCTGATGGCTATTTCATATGATTACGACAAAATCAGCTTTCCCACAAAAGTTCATAAAGCTAATGGAGTAAATTCTCTGCACTTTTGATACAGCAATGATGGTGATTATTCTGTATATGGCATCATTGTGATCCATTGCCATATTTTATTATTAACTGCTAAAAACAAACTGACACATGGAGGAATAACTACTATCTTTTCGGTATAGACAGAGTAAATGTCAAGTTTCTCAGTTAAATCCACATGAAATGAAAGTTGGGATACAAAGTGACATACCGGGCTTTCCTCTAGTTGTATTTTATTTTTATGTTCAGTTGGAGAAAGCATTCTCTAAACAGTCAAGTCTGGCTTTCTGAGTGAGACATGTACTAGTGTTTTCTATGTAGCCCTTTGCTTTCTCTTAGTGGGACACATCAGCTGGCCCTGGCCACAGTCATTACCAATCATGAAAGGGTTGCTATGAGAGAGCATGGTGACCAAGCCAACTCTTCCTCAACAAGAAGTGTTTAAGGCATGCCACCTTGGGTGAACTTAGCGGGCTCTTAAATTATGTGAACCAGCTGCTGGGAGATAGCCAGTTTCTTAAGGAATTTACTTTATCTTTCTCTATCCACTTCAATTTTCTAGTTCCCAGTGTGGATCTTTGGTGCCATTCTAGTTGGACTTCAGTCATCCAATCCAGTGCACAGAAAATGAGATATAATTAAAAATCATTAAATATTTAAAACCATTAAATACCCCCGTTAAGCTTCTATAAAATGAAACTGTAGAACAAAATTATAGCTTTAAATTCTTTCTTTGTGCCAGTCAAGACGTTGACAGAGAGAAATGTCTGTTTATTACATACCTGACGATGCCTGTAAGTATTCCTCATGCACATATGAAAATAGCAACCACAAGAAATTGCATCAGCTTTCCTAATGTAAATAAAAGTTGGTTACATCCATGTTTCAAAGAGGAAATTAAAGCCCCGTGTTCACTAGAATATTCATTTTTATTCCGGCCTAAAACTCACAGCATACAAATAGATGAATTCAGCTCATGAGAGAGCAAAGCCAATTTAATCTCTGGCTCCCCTGAGGTAAATGTAGTTCACGGTCCTGCCCCCACCCCAACCTCAGCTATAATCCCTGGATCCTGGAGGTAAAAATGCATTGAAGTGAGGAAAATTCTTCAGCAGGATATAATGATCCAAAATGACAGGGACAATAATGACAATGAATTTCATGTCTCCCAGTCATGAGCTGGAGATGCTTGACTAGGCTGACTTACACAATTAAATTGTTACAGGTACAGCAGGAGATGCAGTTAGCTGTGCTTTGGGGAACGCTGCCTCTGGCAAAAGGCAAATTGTGGAATTCAGATCCTTTTGTTAGGAACAAACTATCACTCCTTTAAGCATATACCCTAGATGATTGTGCACTTTAATAAAAGAAAGCCTGGGTAAAGACAAGTCTTTTAAGGTGTTGATCTATCAACTTTAAAAACTTAAAAAAAAATCAATTACTTCATTCCACAAAAGTGATTTTTTTTTTCACTCATGGTTTCATTTTTGTGTTTTTCATTGAGTTCCTGGAGATAATCATATCT